CACTCTTGCCTGGCAGTCCTCCCCATTCATGTCACTCCTCCCCACTCTTGTCTAGTCGTTTTCTCCTGTCCTTGGGACTGTCCTCCATTGCCTACACAGAGCATGGGGGATTTTTCTGAAGATCCCTGAAGGTCTTCCTCTCTGTATTTTACTCCTCTTAATACTTTTGCCCAGCAACTTGTAGCCACCCTACTATCTCTCAGTATTGTTGCCTAGCAACTTCTAGCCATGCTTACTATTTACTTCTTTGATTCAGTAAGTTGCCAAGATTTGCTGCACCTCCTCTCTGCCCTGTGTCCTGGAGATCCTGAGCAAGGACCCTCTTGCAGCCAACCTTTGTCAGTCTCCCTTTCCAGGGACCACTGTCCTATGCAGCCTGCTGTCTGATGGCTAAACAGGGATGCTTTAATGTGCATGCTATAGCTGTTTATGGATTTTCTAGTTGCGTGGGAAGACAGCTGCTCCCTTACTATCATGGCTGCAGCGCTTGTCAGGTCTCCCGAGGAAGCGCTGTTCATCACTTCTGCACCACTACGTTTCCTCACTAGGTTTCCAGCTTTCCGAGGCCAGGAAGAGGGCCGGGTCATGGACAGGATCTTGGATCCACAGATGATGGAGAAGTTAGGACAGAGATGGGCAGACAAGTCTGAGGAAGCTGCAACACGCTGGCCACTCTGGAGAGTTGAAGCACACTCTTCAACTGCAACGCTGCTGCTCTGGACATGCTCAGATCTTCCCGAGAGCCCACAGCTGCTGTGAGCCTCACCTACAGGTGGTCCGTGCTACCTCCACTCCCCACCAGGCCTGCCACTGCAGAGTAAGAACTGGCCCTAGTCACACAGTGTTCATGCTCAGACACCACAGCTTCCCCATTTGTAATTACGTGGGTCAAGGCATCTCCACGAGAGCACAGGCTGCAGCTGTGAGTCAGGAAGGCCTGAAATTCCAGCCCCTTGTTATAAAGCTGGACATACTATCTGAGCAGTCTGATAGTTTCATTATGTGACAAGTGACACATAATGACCTACTGTTTATGGAGAATACAGCACTTAGTCAACACTCCATAAATGGCAACTAATACTGTAAGATTAATCAGGACCCTCCTCCAAGCAAGAATATAGACCAAGTGAAATGCCTGCTGACCAATCTGTGCACAATTGTAAGTGGCCCCTGCTAATATTCCTAGAGGAGAGTTTTACCGGGAGGCCAACCAGTAAGAGAACACATATGGATAGGAAGCATCTCTCTAACACAGGCTGAGGGGCCTTTTGATCAAGGGCCTGGTCCAGATGTGTTTCTGGTTTGGGGAGATTCAGGAATATTTGCACATAGTGAAGTGTCTTGAGGATAGGACCCAAGCCTAAGCTGGAAATCTATTTGTGATTTTTAAACACTGGACACACATAACCAGTAAGTAATTTCATACAATACTTTCAGTGCTGTGAGTCATCACATGAGGTCAAGAGTGGAATCTTCCATGTGGGACATCATATGTGTTAGTGCTCAAAATTCTCAGTGTTGGAAGTTTTTGGATTTTGGAACATTTTAGATATCAGCCGTGGTGATGTTTTATTTGTGCTCTAACAAATAAAACTTATCTGGGGATCAGAGGACAGAGCCAGCCACTAAATTAGACACAGAGGCCAGACAGTGGTGGCACACACCCTAATCCTATCACTCAGGAGGCAGAGATCCATCTGGGTCTCTGTGAGTTCAAGGCTACACTGGAAATAGAGCCAGGCATGGTAGCACACACACCTTTAATCCCAGCACTTGAGATCTCATGTCTTTGCTTGGAAAGGACACACACCTTTAATCCCAGGAAGTGATGGCAGGAAGCAGAAAGCAGAAAGGTATATAAGGTGTGAGGACCAGGAACTAGAAGCATTTTAGCAGCAGTTCAACTGAGACCCTCAGGGGTGAGGACTCAGAGGCTTTCAGTCTGAGGATCCAGGAAAACAGTATCGGCTGAGGATTGGCGAGGTGAGGTTGACTGTGGCTTGTTCTGTTTCTCTGATCTCTCAGTTTTCACCCCAATATCTGGCTCCGGGTTTTTTATTAAAAAGACCTTCTAAGATTCATCTTACAATCAGCTTTTTGGATTAGGGATAGTCAACGTATAATTATAAACCACAGGCTGCAAGATACTAAACATCTGGTCTTTAGCTTATTTTCGGTGTCTCCTAGAGATATATTGTCACAGTATCCACGAATGCCCCTAAACTGAGAGGCACAATCATATGCAGATGCTAAAAAGAAGCCAGTGGGTAAAGGGCACCTGAGTTGGCAGAAAGGAGAGAATGCGGGCGTGGAATGCGCAGTGGGGAAATGTCCAGGAAATGACCAGAACACAGTGGAGCAGAGTGGTCTTCAAGCTCACAGGAGCTGCTGCTAATAGAAACCCTGGGGTCTTTCTCTTAATACATGCTTGTCGGAACTGTCATAACCTATAGTTTAAAACTCTGAAAAACAGATTTAAAAGAAACCAAACAAAACATTTTAAAGGGTAAATATGAATAGTTAAAGAATTTTTTAGGCTCAGAGAGGATTCCAGAAAGAATAGCAAGGATTATGCACAAGAAGTTGGCCATCTGTTCTCTACCTCTAGTGATGAATCAAATGAAAGGAAATGGACTCAGCGTTGTGGGAGAGGATCACTCTAGCAGTCATGGTTATTAAAAATTGAAATCATTTACTAAGGGACATTAGAGAATTTCTTTCCTAGGCAATCTTGAAAAATTGACAGGGTGTCCACTTTTTCTAAGCATAACATCTGTGTTATATTTCCTGAGCCCATGGAAAACATCGCTTCACTGTGTCTCAAGCCATGTCCACCAAGGGGCACAACCCACAGACAGATCCAGAAGCTCTCAGGACAGATGGAGATGAAGAGGGGTGGCTAATCTGGAAAGAAGATCGCTCGTGTGTGTGTCAGGAAGGGTCCTGTGCAGAGTCCTAGAGGTGGGATACCTGAATGTGCAAAGAAGTAAGAGGGGGAAAGAAGATATATCTTGGCCTGGCTTCCAGAGGTGGGATGAGACACAGCTTTGCTCTCTGAGATGATGCACAGACTATGACAGCTTTGGTAGAAAACTACACCCCCAGGTTGTCTACACAAAACAAGCTCTGCTGAGCATAAAGCCACCACAATTGGAAGCCCTTTCTCTTTTGCCCTGGACAAACACCATGAGGGTGCTGGCACTGGCAGAGGATAGGAGATGGGCAAATATCCTGAATTCTCCAGTTTCCGTGAGTTGATAACAATCGCTGTCCAGCTGTTGCACAATCCTGGCCTGAATCACTATTAGAGCTGAGGAACAGTCTGGGGTTCACAGCACAGACCCTCAGGTGGTGACTGACGGTGGAGCCGGCACACTGGAGGGTCAGAAGTATAGGCAACCTGGAAGGCTCCGGAGAAGACCTGGAACAACTCAACCTAGAGGAGCAGCAACTTGCAGAGGGGCACTTGGCGTGCAGGCTGCTCTGACGGGGAATGAGCAGTTCATGGTTTCCAGAAGTTTCTAACTTTATGTCAGACTACCTCCATTATTCCCATGCAGAGCACAAGAGCCATACTACAGCAATCAAAATTCTAAAACAAAGCGGAGGGCATTTCCAGCCCATGTGCCCTGTAGCAAAGCTGTTGGACCCTCCTCCCTGAAAACCACACCTCCCTGTGCAGGAACTGCCATGCTGCCCATGTGCAAGTACCAGAAAAGGAACAGGAAACAAAAACAGCTTGGAAACTTGCAAGTACCTATGTATCTAGTACATAGTAACAGAATCTCTTCCTTTTTATTGTTGAGAGAGTATCTTGCTATGTAGCCCAGGCCTGCCTCCAGTTTGCTGCATAGCCCAGGTTGGCCTTAAACTTGGGGTCCGGCTGCTTCAGTCTCCTGAGTGCTGGAATTGCTAGCATACACTGCCATATGTGGCCTTAAAGAATTCCTATGTAGGGGTAACTGTGTTAAATGGGATGACCAAGAGACACTTGTTTTTAGATAGGGTCTCATGTATCCAGGCTGACCTCAAACTTATGTAGCCAACGATAGTCTTGAACATCTGCTCCACCTGCCTTCATCTCCAAAGTGCTGTGATTACAGATGTGCTACCATACCTAAATTTCATATGGTCCAGAGGATTGAACCTAGGGCTTCAGGCAGTCTAGACAAGTACTCTACCAACTGAGCCCTATTACCACCCAAAGGAACATCTTCTGAAGCTGTGTTGTGCCATGAAGCTAAAGAATTCTAAAAATACCAAAGCTTCTTACAAATATACTTTATTTGCACTTTATTTTTTAAGTTATGTCCATCCATTTGTTTCTGTGTGCATGTGTGTGTACCACAACATGTGTGTGGAAGTCACAGAACAACTTGTGGGCACTGTCCTCACCTCTGTTATATAGGTCCTAGTGATCAAATTCAGGTCAGAAAGCTTGGTGGCAAGGCTTTTACCAGCTGGGTCATCTCAGTGGCCCTTATTCACACTTGAAAATGACCAAGAGCACAACCACTGTGATGGACAGTGAATGCTACTCTTATGGTGTTGCTGTTACTATTATTAACTTTGGGGTACCAGATGGAGACATTTAGGGGTTCCAAAGTTACCTTTGAGAACCAGTGTCCAATCTCCAGGCTTGAGATTGGCTAGAGTGTGGGATTTCATTTACAGCTTGGGAGGAGTTTCTTTCAGTGCAGAAGAGGCCTTGGCCTTCTCCATCATCAAGTAAACAACTCTAACATCACCACTGCTGCATCCCAGACACCCCAGATGGTAGCTTAATAGCCTGAAGAATTAATAGCACACCTCCGAGCACATTATTCACCCAGAGAATGGTTCAGGCAATGCAAAGAATCTGGCCCATTATAGACCACACAATTGCTAAATAATACTCAATCAAAGAAATGAAGCATGGCATATGGTAATCCCTTTCTATATTGAGATTCATTGTAATAAAAGCGCTGTTCAAAGTCCTCACGGAAATTTGAAAGGCATACCTTTTTTTTCAGGAAGAAACATCACAATAAGACAGGCCAGTCCTCCCAGGCACAGAAATGCTGCTAGTGTCCGCTTCCGACCAAACCTAAATGATAGAAGGAAATCATGTTTCTCTAAAGAATCTTAGAAAGTCATCTCCCTTTCTGCCAGCATTCCTATTTAAGTGTCCTCGACCTAATTTTTTTTTTTGAGTGGGTGGCAAATGTAGCCCCCGGTCGGGAGACAGATCAGGACATACATAAGCATGACAAGGGAATCCAGCAGATGGTAGGATCCGATCATGTGTTTCCCAGAGTGTGCACTGTGGCAGGACTGTCTTCAGTGCATGCCACCTGTTACCTCCCCAGTCCTAATAACAAAAGTGCAGCGTGTGCTGCTGCCCTCTCCATCTTCCAGAGACCGACCCTGGTAAAGAGAATGGAGTCCAACAGCTGGTTTTAGTCTCCGGTTCCCCGACTCTTATGGGCTTGGAAGTTTTCAATACTTCTTCGTTTATTTGTCTTTGTCTCAATCTTTTAGAAATATAAACATGAAAAACTCTTGTTAGTGGTTTCTATTTAAGTAAAATGTACTACACACCTTAATTTCCAAATAAGAGGTCTAGGCTTAGAAGAAAGATGCTACATTAATCTCCACTCTCCAAGGGACAGCAACAGACCAGGTCCTCTGCTAGGAACTTCGGTATTTACTTGTAATTCTGATAACTACTTTGTCAGGGTAATTTTAGGATTCCCGGTTTTAAAATCATCATAAATGGAAACTTGATGGGGGAACTTACTGAAGTCAGAAAGCTAACACATGGCTCAGACTAGAATGAAACCCCAGTCCACTTGACCCCAAAGGCATCGAACTTGTGCCCTTCAGACTGCAGCCCTGCCTTGTAGCAGTAGCTGCCGGAAAGCAGGAAAGGTCTGGTGTCTTTTCGACAGCTATTTCCAGGTTATTTTTAACATCTAGCATGGAATGGCTTTTGAGTGACACTGACCATGACAGGCAGGCCCTAGGCAAAGGCTACTCCTATGAATAGCTTCCTGGTGATGCTAGAAGTGGCCATCAGAGGTATACACAGGAACCCGTAGCTGCAAAAGAAGTGGATGTACTCTTACAGACATGCCGAGTGTGATGGCTGGCCTACTTCTGGGATCATGAGGAGAGTCAGTGATGGTCACTAGCAGAAGACTCAGACCAGGCAACGCAATGCTGCCTGGGAGAAAAACCTCCAGCTGACCTGAGTCCTGCATTTGGCTGCAGGACTCTCAGCTGAAGCGTGCTGACAGGTGTGGCAGGAGAGTCGGGATATTACAGCACATGGCCCAGTGCTTTTCTGGCTTTTTCCTTCTGCTCACTAGCCCACTCCGATGGTCAGTCATGTTTTACTTTTCGCGTTTTAAAAATAAACAAGAGCCCGGGATAAGTTGGCACTTAGCGTTTGTTTCTTGATCCTTCCCTTCATCTCTTTTTCAGATACTGGCCAAAGGCTGCGCATATTTTCCTTGGCACTCTGGATAGCACTGTTTCCTTATCCTCAAAAGGCTCTGCGTTCTATCTTTCCCTGCTGCCTGGATTTCCAGCCTGCCTGCCCTGTTATTTTTCTTTCAAATGCAAAGAAAATTGTCCTCAAGCTTCCTTCCAAGTCCGTTCCTAAATTCTTCTATTAATGAGTCTAAATAACCCCAAAGGAACCTTGGTTTCCTGATTAATAGTATCGAGATGTGCAATGTTATAGTTTGGGTTGAAATGATAATGTCTAGACAGTAAGAATTGGCACAACTCAACTGGTTCCTAGCTCACCAAATAACAGAAGGGGTAAACAGACCAGGATGTGGATCTCTAGAAGATAACATTTGAATTCCACTCCCTTGCTCACAAGCAGCAAAAGCAGGGTATACTCTGTCCCTTCGAAGTAGTTCTTAGGGGGTAGGAAGTCTTTCTAGTTCTGTCAGGTTTTGTCTTCCTGCTTCTAAGACTTTCTGGATTCTGAGTTGATGGGATTCTATCTACATGGAGCTAACAAGCACATTGTTCAGGCCTATGAATTTATATAGACTACTCAACACCTCTCAGATGGTAGTACCTTTTACACTGAGTTAAAGCCTGCATAAGCATTCACATACACAAAACTCAAGAACTACTACAATAAAAAGTGAGCTTAGCTGCATTTTGCCTGAGAGAAACTCTGATGGACAGTGCTGGCCATACACTGTCTACAAACAAATTTCATAACAAGTAGGAATGTGCATATGGGAAGAAGGTGTGTGTGCTCCAATCCACAGCCTCTATGGCATGCCTCATTATCACCCATACTCACCATCTTTGGTTAATCAGGTAGATGCAGAGAGGGTAGGACGGAATCTCTATGAGGCCAGATAAAGCCAGGTTGGCATAAATACTGCCCCCTAGATCCCCCGCACTCAGGGTGAGGCCGTAGTACACCAAGCTGCACACGAACCTGCATGGAGATCAAAGGACTGAGCCGTGAGAGAAGTCCTGGGGCAGAAACAGGATTTTCCAGGAGAGATTAATAGTACCAGGTCAATATCAGACCCTCTGCTGCAAATAAGAGTTTGACTCCCCCACCGAGCTCTCTGTCTTCATCTAAACTTCCATCCTATCAAGACACAAGGCATGCTGGGGCTTTGGGAGTGATTTATGTCCATGTGTTATATAAAGCAAATGAATGGACAGTTCCTGCTTGAGGAAAGACATTGTTCTTGCCTCCTCAAGCATTTCTGCACTGAAGTGAAAACAATGGCCTTATTCTTACTTTACTGAGTTCAACAATCTAGGGAACACTGGCCTGTGGCCTTTTGATATTATCAGAAGGGCTGGACTAAGCCTCCTATGGGCAAAGCCAACAGGGGATGGTTAGAGAATGGGCTGGATCCTCAGGTAGGTCATATGCAGGCCACAAATGCCATGCTCTCCATCCCCCTATGGCCCTAGTCATTTCCCATCCAAGGTCCTCAGCAGGCACACATAAATACAGAGACAAGGTTAGAGAAGAAAAGGCCAGGATCACAGCAGAGCAGCAATTCTGAGAAGATCAATAGGGAAGGAGGCTCTTGAGAGACATTAACTCATTTCTGCACACCATCATTGAAATTCACACTTAGGGAGCACCTGCTAGCTCTGGTATTAGGCCAGACACATGACTGTCTTCTTCAGGGGGAATGAGCACAGCTCAACCAAGCACCAACCTGGAGCTCCAAATCGCAGTGAAGTGGTAAGATGAACACCAGAGTCTGGCAAGCTGCTGTAGTAAAATCCCAACACAGAACAGACAGTTCTAAGGACCACAAGGCTGCCCTTTACTAGTAGATGAAGACCACAAGTTCCTACCTAAACAATAGATTACCTGGGCTTTCCAACACTACGAGTTTGTCTTTTGTAGTTGACATGGCCAGTGCTTGCTAAAGAGGTTCCTCATTTGCTTCCATTTTGCTTTCTCTAGAAAAAGCCTGGCACGTTGCAGCTGTACTGGGGTCAAATGGCAAAGGGAACACTTTATTTTTCCTTCTGCCAAAAAACCACAACAGCGGGCCAAGTGTCCTAGGCTGTGAAGGGCAGGCTACAGTGGGCTCTCAGCTCAGCGCTGACAGCTCAGAGGCAAAGCCGTAGAACATTGGCCTAACATGTACAATGCCCCAGGTTCACTTCCTTATACTACAAAAAGCAGCTTTACAAGTAGGTGCTTCCTGCCGGGCGGTGGTGGCGCACGCCTTTAATCCCAGCACTCGGGAGGCAGAGCCAGGCGGATCTCTGTGAGTTCGAGGCCAGCCTGGGCTACCAAGCGAGTTCCAGGAAAGGCGCAAAGCTACACAGAGAAACCCTGTCTTGAAAAATCAAAAAAACAAATAAAAAAACAAGTAGGTGCTTCCTCCAAAGCAGCTGATGGGCCATGTGATGAGCAAACTCAGAGCTGGCTAGAGCTCTGGGTTCCTGTGCACTCAGTATCTGCTTCTAACTAGTAAGAACCTCCAATTCACAGATCTGCACTACACTGCGGGCTTGATTTTCAGAGGTTCTCTCAAGCTCCATGTTTGACATTCACTGTGTACGCCCTAGGACATGAGCCTCATCAACTGTCTCCCTGAAACTTCATTCTTTAAAAGGCATCAGCTAGAATCCTGGATGTAGTTTATAGGAACTCAGACGCATTCTGAGGGGTAGGCTGGAATACACTAAGCAACTGAATATCAGGCTCAGAGTGTTAACCCTCCATCTACTGACTTGATGTGTGGTTTTCTCCATTCCTTCAACCTCTTGGGAACCCATCAGTGCCAGAGATGACATTTCCAAGAGAGCAGAGGGGTACACAGAAAGCACTGAGGGACAGGGACCTTGTTTGGTTTTGTTTTTAACAAAACAACCTCATTCTGCAGCCCTGTGGAAGGACCAGACTATCAAGAGACCGTCAGCATTCAAACTGAAGATTCCATAACATCTCTCAGAATTACCAGATGAACATCAGGATCAGAGTATGTCCTAGGAGGACCCGGTAACGGAAGAGATCCAGGAAGCTTCCGGTTTCCCTGCAGCTCCTGTTGGCCGGATGTGTTAGTGAGAACGTGCACTTGAGCTTGCGGTTCCTCTTGGCGATGAAGTAGAGAGCCTCTTCTGCCTCACTCAGCCGACCCTGGGAGTATAACCAACGAGGGGATTCAGGAATGAATCTGAAAGAGATGTCATTAAAGGCTGGATATTCAGACGGGTGCACATGCAGAGGACGGAGACAAACAGCCTCTGGAGGGGGCTTCCCTCACCACAGCTCAGTTCAGCACAAGCCTAAGATATGACTTCCCTGTGACACAGGAGAGAGGACAAAGGGGCTACCCCAACACTGTGGCAATGGAAAATGGCGGCTTACTTTAGTCGTTGGAACTGAGAACATGCATCTCAAATATTGTTTTAATAGAGATAAATAATTTCCATTTCTTTTTAAGTAAGTTTCAGTAAGTGACTGGCAAATCTACAGTGCTGAATGATGCACATTCCTCACAAAGCACAGGTCGGGCACAGCTCTGAATCCCCACTAAAGGCTGGTAGACAATAGAGCAGTGGGCATAGCCTTGCTTCATGTTTTCATCTTTTTCTTTTTCTAAGGACGGGGTCTCACTACGTAGAACAGGTTGGCCTTAAACTTGCTACATAGCCCAGGATAGTCCTGAACTTAAGACATTCCAGAGTGCTGGGGTTATAGGCATGCACCACCAGGCCTAACCAACTGAGTTCCTAAGCTCTTGAAAAGTCTCACATGGAGATAGAAATCTTTATTATCTAATCAAAGAAAACATTTCAGAGGTATTTTAACATAATGATATGTTATTTAGGAGAGAGACATTATTTTAAGACTACATAGAAGCATGAAACAGTCTAACACATCTTTGCCACTTCTGGCCGTTCCCTGCTTCAGAATACTCCAACTCTCCAATGGGCGAGCTTCAGAGTGTCCTGAGGACCTTCCCTGCTTCCCAAGACTGTAAAGAATAGAGTCCCTTACAGGGTAACTTCTAGTTATAGAACCACAGGCGTCCCTCACACAGCCACAGAGTGTTGAGCCACTTGGTGGCATGCCACTAGTGTCTTCACAGTTTCAAAATGCAGATACTATGTTGTAGCTGGAGAGCTTTTCTCTCCAGGTCCTGCCAAGTCCCGCAGCCCCACTTATAAAATAAACACACAGACGCTTACATTTGGCCATTAGCTCAGGCCTATCATTGTCTAGCTCTTACTCTTATATTTAGTCCATTTCTATTAATCTATACTTTGCCACATGGCTCGTGGCTTATAGATACCTTACATCTGCAGCGGCTCCAGGCAGTCTACTGCTCTGCCTTCCTGTTCCCTCCATTCTCCTCTCTGTTAGTCCCGCCTATACTTCCTGTCTGGCTACCGGCCAATCACTATTTATACAGAGCGATATCCACAGCACGATGTCGATTTCGCTTCACCAGTCTGCCTGCATTTCAAGAGGGGTTTCCCAAAGACAAGCCATGACAGAATGGAAGCCTTATTAAAACATTGTGTGTGTATGTGAGTGTGAGTGAGTGAGTGTGTGTGTGTGTGTGTGTGTGTGTGTGTGTGTGTGTGTGTGTGTAGGTTAATATGCTGTGCTCTAAGAGGCCAGAGGAGGAGTCAGGTCCTCTAATCTATTCACTCTTTGCCTTACTCCTTTAAGGTAGGGTCTCTCATTGAAGCTGGTTTGACGAGGCTGGTTTCTCCTTCCTCTGCCTTCCACAGTGCTGGGTTACTGAGGCACATGGCCACATTCAGCTTTTTATGTGGGTACTAGGATTTGAACTCGTCATCAAGATCGCAAAGCAAGCATTCTTACCCTGGAAGTCTTTCTTCTTCACTAGACAAAATCAAAGGACTTCATTTTAAAGTCTAATCTGACACCCTCTGCCTCAAGTGAAATTCTGATGAATAAAATTGGTGTTTTCTCCAATTCCTGATACTTCTCAAGAAGGATAGTGAGCAACAAACACTACAGGATTTGTGGTGGCTTTGTGGACAGTCATTCTGTCAAAACTGCTCCGTGAGCATTTCCATTTCATAAGGAGCAGTATAATGGGTGCTCAGAAGAAAGACACTGGGACAAAAAGGAATTTTCATAGAACTTACCCACTGGGGCCAAAGACGCTCATGCACAACACTGGACTGTCAATCAACGTCATCTATTATGTCTTTACCTTTTAGTCACCTCCTTATTGCCATTTAATTATTGTTATTGACTAGTAAGCAAACAACCAAGTCACATTGTTCTGTTGGAAGCTACTGTGTACAATATAGAGCTAATGTGTGAAATATAGAGCTACTATGCACAATACAGAGCTACTATGTACAATAGAGAGCTACTGTGTGCAATATAGAGCTACTGTGCACAATATGGAGCAAATGTGTGCAATATAGAGCTACTGTGTGTAATTCAGAGCTACTGTGTGCAATATATACCTAATGTGCACAATACAGAGCTACTATGTGCACAACAGAGCTACTGCATGTAATATAGAGCTAATATGTAAAATATAGAGCTACTGTGCACAATGTAGAGCTACTGCTCACAATATAGAGCTAATGTGTGCAATATGGAGCTGCCATGTACAATGATTTGGTTGAGTTTTAATATAAATAAAAAGAATTCTAAGAAGACAGCTGGCCTGCCTATATACAGAAAACATATGAAAATAAAATTTAGATGGGGCGGAGTTGGAAGGACTGAAAAAGAACCAGCAGGAAGTATATCAAAATCCTGACATAACTGTCTGTGGTTAACAAGTGGTCACTCCCCGGCCTTTGTGTTTTCCTGATTGTTAATTAGCAATAAAACCCCAACACTTCATCAATCATATCGAAGATGATATTTGAGAGTGAGAGTACTTTCAGAACTCATGAGTCCTTTCTCGGCTGCTTTGTATTGCTCATGTCCTGAATTCGTCTCCCAGTGAGAACATTTCCTCCTCCAGCACTAAGCAGTAACTAACTCAGACTGCAGACTCAGACAAAGAAAGGCACAATGGCTCCTCTCATTCACTGAATTTGCACTGCTAGTGAGGGGAGCTGAGAGCCAGGCTGGGGCAGAAGTACGAGCTTTGTGAAATATCTGAAAAGAAACCTCATTCACTCACCAGTATTTACATGACTGCTTATTAACTCCGTGCACTATATGAAGCACACTTTGATTACTTTCAAAAATGTACAATGTGCAAGCTAATATAATTGTTATTTCCCTTTATAATAATAAAATGACCTCCCCACAGTTCACACAACTAAATCTTTAATGCAGTTTTTTTTCTTTAATACAGGTTAACTATATTATATTATATATCCCGCTACATTCATTTCTGCATATAACAGTTCTCCTTTTGTTTTCAAAGACACTGTGGAAGCAAATTTCAGTTTAGATCCCACCAAATCTTAACTTGAATAAAGAGCTACTAAATCACAGTGCAACTGAAATGAAGATACTACCACAGGTCTGTCTTACTTTATGTCACTAAAGAAACCCCAGATACCACTGGTGAAATTCTTGGTTACACAAAAGATTTTAGTCTAATACCTTAGTGAAGAAAGAGCTTTCATTGGGCACATTAAAGCGTGGTAAAATGGGCTGAAGTTGGTGGCTAGCCACCATAATGTGACACTTGGATAGTTGTTTATGGAGCCCATCGTGGCTTGGGAATTATTCTTGTACTGCTCTGAGCACTCCTGGAGACAAGATCTCTCTTGCAGACTTTGTACTTAGAGGCCCTGAATTGAGACTCCTGTGCAAGATGAACAGCGGTCACTACGTGTTCAACACTTACACTTGGCTCCACAGTATCAGATCTCAGCCATACACCTAGCCCACGGCCAGATCCAGCTTGAAGAGCTTTAAGATTAAGGCATTGAGTTTAAAAAAAAAAAAAAGAAGGAAGGAAGGAGGGAAGGAAGAAAAAAAGAAAGAAAGAAAGAAAGAAAGAAAGAAAGAAAGAAAGAAAGAAAAAAGGAAAGAAAGAAAGAAGGAAGGAAAGAAAGAAGGAAAGAAAGAAAGAAATTTCCAATCACTGAAGACCAAATGCAGTCGATTACTCTAAACATGAGATACCTACATTCTGAACCAATTAACTAGCATCTCTCTCTTCCAAGGAGCTGACAAGAACTGAACATTTGCAGTTTAATTCTTCCCAGAATTCACTGCAGGCAAGCTCTTGAAGGAAGTGATGCTGCTCTTTCGCTCGCTTACTCACATCCTTCTAAGATACTCCTGTTTACGGAGCAAAAATTCCAAGAGAAAAGTCTACTTACAAAGATAAGAGAAAGACTACTGTTCCCTGAAGGTTGACCAGGACAGCTAGGGTCCTCCAGGAGCGGATGAAGTACCCTAACAGGGCATATTGCGCGATGCCAACAGCAAAGAAGAGACCGCCGATGGATCCTAATACAGGGAAAAGAGAATTGTCACTGGCGAAGGCCACTCACAGGACCCTTCCCAACACCGGTCAGTGTGCAGGTCCTCCTCGTGAGACCTCAGCTCTGCCCCAAGTGTGAGCGGCAGAACACGGGGAGAGACTATGCAAGCACCCAGCTTCAACTTTATAACATATGGAGGACGGGCAGCTGGAAACATGCACCACCTGTGGACAAGATGAAGTCCAAGGCTTCTGTCGGATGCTCTCTGTACTGGCTGCTGCACTGACTTCCGCCTGCACCCCTGGCTGAACCTGGAGGTGCTTTTCAATGGGGGTGATGTGACTTTCAAGTCACGCAGTTCCTGCCATGCCGGTCTTAATCTTTTTAAAAGGTTTTATTCTATTTTTATTGATTGTATGTGTGTCTCTATAGGTGTGGGCTTGTGTGTGCCATTGGTGCACTTAAGAAGCAGAAGACAACTTGTGGTAGCTGCCTCCTTCCTTCCACCATGTGGACTCCACAGCTCCAACTCTGAGTCAGAGCAAACAACAGAAGAGCTTGAGGGTTAGGGGAGGGTGTCTATGACACAGAGTGCTGTATATGGCAAAGCCCGGCCCTGTCCAAGGTCCACCTGCATCCTGAGCCACCCCCATCTCCTGGCTCGTTTCTATGGAAAGACAGTTTTTAGATAGGCATTGCTTGTCTTGTTCTTAATTTTTTTTTTTTTCCAGAAAGTGTGTTAGTCCACTTGCCAGCCCCTGGGTCTCAACCTTCATCACAGAGGCTACTGATGAAAATATTATCTTAAGCTACTCCCAATTCCTCCCATCACTTTTCTCTACTTATCACCATCAGATGTATGACACTTTACATTTTCTTGTTTCTCATCTGACTCTCCCAAGGAGAACATAAGCTTTCTGAAACATGGATTTTTGTCAAAACACTAATGGAAAAATACCAACCACAGAACTGTAAAGAAACCTATGCTTTTTTCGGTAAGCGTTGAGACGAGGATTAAATGCACCAGCTTGCCTGATGTTCTTGCAAATTCTATACCTCTGACACACTTTCGGTAACCACTATTATCACTGTGGGCAGGCTATTGAGATATCTGTCGAGAATAATGTATTATGTGTGCTGTGTTATGAAACAGGTACCATTATTAACCACACACTGAGGCAATAAAATATCTTGAGGGTTAGGGGAAGGTGTCTACGAGGCAGAGGCTGTATATGGCAAAGCCCGGCCCTGTACAAAGTCCACCGGCATCCTGAGCCACCCCCATCTCCTGGCTCGTTTCTATGGAAAGGCAGTTTTTAGATGAGCTTTGCTTGTCTTATTTTTAATTTTTCTATGATAATCTTATAAACAAATGTTTTCTTTGATTACTGCTCATAGATGATCACTTTATGACAAAACATGATAACTAATATACTGTTTGCCCTACCTAGGAAAAGAAAGCCAAAAGGGTGTGTGTGTGTGTGTGTGTGTGTGTGTGTGCACACAGCATTCTGAGAACAAGATTCACCAAGTAATAGAATAGAGACAGTATGGAGTCCCCTGGAAATTTAAGACCATCAATAACTGAATTCTTTATATTGCACCATATAGCACCTGGCTGGCTCCCAAGGATAAGGCTTCTCTGCCACGCAGTATTCACCTATGATGACACACACAAAAAGAACACAGTAGGGGGATAAGATAGGCTGGTTTCAGAGGGATTAAGTTTAAATCTGAGTTCTACCAAACACTACAGCAGTGGTTCTCAACCTATGGGTCATGATCCCTTTGGGGTCAAATGACCTTTTCACAGAGGTCACATATCACATCTCCTGCATTATCAGATATTTACATTACAACTCATAAGAGTAGCAAAATTACAGTTATGAAGTAGAAACAAAAACAATTTTACGCTTGAGGGTCACTACAACATGAGGAACTGTATTAAAGAGTCACAGCATTAGGAAGGCTGAGAACCACTGTACTATAGTATGATTGTGAACAAGTCACTGTCTTCCTGAATTTCCATCTTCTAACCATTGAAACAGAAACAATCTGATCTCAAAGGTTGTTTTTCTTATTAATGCTTCACCCAAATAATGCTTGTTATTCGAATGTTATCTTTGTCATCTCTCTGCTCTTCTCCTCACTGTGGGAAATGTTTGACAGAAAGCAGATGAAGCATGGAAGGGTTTATTTTGGCTCACACTTTGAGAGAATTGGAGTCCATCATGCGGAGAAGCATGGCAGTGGGAGTGTGAGGCTGCTTGTTCACATCTGGGCAGAGCAGGAAGCAGAGAGATGGACGCTGGCACTCATGTATCTTTTGTTTTCCTCTTTATTCAGGCTGCACCCTCAGCACATGGGATGGGGTCACCTTCCTCGGGGTGGGTCTTTCCTCCTCTGTCAGTCTCTGAAAACTCTATCAGACATGCCCCCAAGTGTGCTCACTAAAGTATTTCCTAATACACCCAAGTTGACAACTGCAATTAGTTACCACAGCATCCTATTACAATCTGGGTTTGGGTTCACATGCTCTCATCCATTAATCAGGGTGGGACAGGGAGGACATCTGGAAGTTTCTGGTTATGAGTGTCCACTTCAGAAGATTTTCTGCCTTATTTTCCTTTCTAATTTCAAGAACTTCTCTGTAGGTAGAAGTTTCTCTTCCACCTGCCTGTTCCCAAATACCCAGCAGCTGCTTCTTAAATAATTGACTCAGAGGCTTAATATTAATTATAAATGCCTGACCAGTAGCTCAGACTTTATTACTAACTAGCTCTTACATTTAAATTAACCCATAATTCTTATCTATGTTTAGCTATGTGGCTTGGTACCTTTTCTCAGTCTGACGTTCTTATTTTGCTTCCTCTGCCTCTGGCTGGTGATCCTGACTCCACCCCTCCTCTTCCCAGAACTCTCCTAGTCTAGTCATCCCACTTCCTGCCTGGCCACCAGCCAATCATCATTTTATTAAACCAATTCAAGAGACAAATCTTTACAGTGTACAAGAGCATTATCCCACAGTTCCTCTCAACCACACTATCCTGGAGAACGGACTGTATAGCTCAAGGGAACCAATCACAGTTCCCTTAGCTGTAAGAGTAACCTTAGCTTGACCAATCAGAACTTGTAATTTCAAAAACTGTCCTTGGGGCTGCTGGGTCTCATCTCTGAGAAAGTTTTCAGAGAAGATAGAGAGCAGAGATGAGAAACACCTGACTTCCAGGTTTCAGAAATCTCTGAGGTCTAGCTGTACTGTCATGAGATGTTGAGCAAATGATTTCCCTATATCTGCATTCTTTAGAGTTGACCTCTGTCACAGCTAATGAAAGAAAGAAGGTACCACATAGACATGGTGGACAAGCGTAGATGATTCAAAGATATGTTGTAGCTTAGTGATCTTACATACTGTGATGACAATATAAAGCAGGGTCCCGATGATAATGTCGGTTGTAGGTGGTAAGAAAGTAGTGTTGAATCTGATGGGCTACAAGACAGTCACAACTAAGAACCAGCAAGAAGCCACACATGTATGCCTGTAAACATCAGCAGGCACAAGGCAAAGAGCTGCCAACATGATGTGACTCCTGTGATATTTGGCTAAAACCATTAAAAATTTGAGTATTTCAAGTCCCTTGATCATTATAATCCTGGAACCCCATGTGTGGTTTACTTAATGTTTATGTACCTCAGGGTCTACTCTTTCATTTACATTTGTTTTCCACTCATTTCTTATACATTTCAAGTCTCCTGTCCCTGCTCAGTTAGAACCTGGATACATGTTGGCAGATTAGTCATGACTTGATTTTGTAAAAGGCACCAGTGACTGACCCAGTGTTCAGATCCAAACCCTGAAGTCTCCCTTAGGCCTCTCTCCCCATCTCTGCCAACTCCTCTCCAGGTCATAGGCACCCAAATCAAACTCAGTTCTCCTCCTCCTCCGCTCCAGCTCCCACTTGTCTGAACCACCACTGGGTTCACAGCTGACTACACAGCCTCCTGAAAGACCCCTCAGTTTTTATTTCTCTTCTCTGCTGTCATAAACCCATGAGAACAATCTTTCTGTATGAGGTCTTTCCTCTATGTAACATAAGCCCCAAGACCTTCCTCCACATTTTGAATAAAAATCCAAATGTGTGTGTGTATGTGTGTATGTATACATATGTGCATACAATAACAATAAAAAAGAAGGCAGGGTATTTGAAGCAGGGTAGGGAGGGGCACATGAGAGGGTTTGGATGGAGGCAAGGGAAGGAAGAAATGTAATTATAATCTCAAAAACAAGTTTTGGGTTTTTTGTTGTCGTTGTTGTTGTTTTGAGACAGGGTTTCTCTGTGTAGCTCCTGCTTTCCTGTAACTCACTCTGTAGACCAGGCTGACCTTGAACTCACACAGACCCTCCTGCCTCTGCCTCCTGACTGCTGGGATTAAAGACATGTGCCACCACTGCCCAGTTCAATTTTTTTAATTAGTGAATTAGTTTTAAAGAGTAACAATGGCATTCTGTCATAATATTGTCATTTAGATACATTTTTATCAATCATAAGGCCAATTTTATCCCCATAATGGTACAAAAATATTGTTTGCACCAATGATTGTTGAGTTAATGAAAATTTTTTTAAGATCTCAAAAAAGTTATGAGTGCAAATCTATAATCTAAAATGTAGAGGTTTAGACAGGCACTCTCCTAAGACAATATCTGAAGTCATATAACATATGTGTGTGTGTGCCTGTGTTTGTAAGTGCTCTGTGTGTGTATGCACGTGCATGTGTGTGTGCATGTGTGGTGTAGGGATGTGTGTGCAGGTGCACGTGCCTGTACATGTGGAGACCAGAGGCTGCTATGTGTCTTCCTATATTGCTCTTCTCATTATAGTTTGAAACGGGGCCTCTCACTGAACCAGGACCCTGGCATTTCAGCTAGTCAAGCTGGTCAGCAGGCCCAGGGATCTACTTGTTCTCACTTCCCCAGCAGAGGTGACAGACATACTGTCCTGTCTGACTTCCACTATGAGTGCTGGGGAATCTGAAATCAGTGAACATTTTCTCACTGAGCCATCTCCCCAGCCCCTGACCTTTATGCTGCCTAGTTTTATGTTAACTTGACACAAGTTAGAGTCATTTTGAAAGAGGGAACCCCAGCTAAGAAACTATCCCCACAAGACTGGCCTGTGGGCTAGCCTGTGGTGCATTTTCTTGATTGATGATTGGTGTGAGGAGTCCAGGCTGGTGGTCTTGGTTGCCGTAAGCAAGCAGCTTGAGCAAGCCATGAGGAGCAAGTCAATAAGCAGCATTCTTCCATGGTCTCTGCATCAGTTCCTGCCTCCAGGTAACTGCCTTGTGTCCCTGCCCTGACTTCCCTTCATGATGGACTACAAGGAATAAGGTGAAAGAAACCCTTTCCTCCCAAGTTGATTTTGGTCATGGTGCTTTAGCACAGCAACAGAACCCCTACCTAAGACGAATTTTAGAAATAATTACGAGGCCAGTGAGATGGCTCAGTGGGTAAGGGTGCTTGCTGTCAAGACTGATGATCTGAGGTCAATCACCAGGTCCCCTGTGGTGGAAGGAGAGAACTGACTCCTACAAGTTGTTCTCTGACCATGTGCACATCAGCACATGTGTACGCATGAACATATATACACATGTAAAATAAATAAATATAAAAATTTTAAATATTTTTTTACTGTATGTGTGGTATTGAGAATATCCTGGAATTATTAGAGATAATACAGAATATGGCCTCAATTTAGAAATTGAGCATCAGTAAGAAATGTTACAACAATGCCCTCTAGGGACTGGAGAGAAGGGTAAAAATGAGGAAATCCATGAAACAAGCATCAAGGGGATGCAGTCAAAGGCCTAGCGTCTCCTGCCCTTGCACTACTTCCCAGGGTGAGGGAGAAAGTGATGAATACTGTTCTGAGCAAACGGGACACTCTTCACAGTCATCTGCAGACAGGTCATGAGGTGGGTGGCCACCTCACTGTCTGTGAGGCAGGCAGGCCCAGGAAAGACTTCTTCCAGGGAATGTGAACCACGTGATCTCTGATGTCTTGAAGACCACAATGGAGAAAGCAAGTCTGAGCGGGTTGAGCATCCCTCATATGAAAAGCCCAAATCACAAACGTTCCAAAATCCGAAACATTTTGAGAGGCAACACAATTCCTCAAGTGAAAAAAATCCATATTTTACCTTGGATGTGATGGTTTAAACCCAAAATAGAGATGCTAAAAATGCTCCATAACATTACCTTCAGGCTATGCGCATAAAGCAGCTATGAAATGTAAATGCATTTTGTGTTTAGAATTGGGCCACATCTCCAAGGTATTTTGTTATGCATAAAAATTTGGAATCTGGAACACTTCTGGTCCCCAGCATTAGGGTAAGGAATACTCAACCTGCAGATAGGAAATGCCTCAAGTCCAAGTGTGTTTTCAGACTTGGGTTAAGCTGATTCCCAGCAAGGCTTTCCAGAGCCACTCACATCCCAGAGCTGCACAAAGTGAAGCAGTACCTGCAAGTGCCCAGTAGGCGGTGCCCACGCATTCATTTAGCAAGACAAAGGCCACCAGGGACATTCCTCCATTCATCATGCCCACCAAGAAGCGAGTCACTGCAAAGAATTCATATGAGGGGGAAAATCCATTTGCGATAGCAAATAAGATGTCAAGAGCAAAACCTGGGAAGAGAGGAACAATATTCAATGACCCAGAAGCAAAACAGCATTTGAAGAAAATAATAAATTATATTCATCAGTTTGTGAAATAAACCTTTGTAAACTTAAATGTCCTGAGCTATGTTTTTCATTTTTTTTCTAACAATTTGCCCTGAAAATTATGAAGAAAAACCAAGGCTTGCTTTCTTTGCTTTACAATTTCTGTCAATCACACACCATTTTCAGTTATTCATAATAATGCTAGAAATTGAAAATCCTCACTCACACTCGGCCTGTCAAGACAGCTACGCCAAGTCCTATAGAGCTCATTTGAAACAAATCAACACAGAGAGATACAAGAAATAGGCTGGGAAGGCTGTGGCAATCTCCCATGGCTCTCTTTAGAAGCAGGGCAGTGATTACAATTTGGGGGTTGTAGAAAGCACTGTCAAAATATATATATAAAAAATGTTTTTTAACAGAAATAGCTGGCCTTAGCCAGGTGAGCTCATTCAGGAAAAGCGCTTGACCAGAGTCATGGCTAGCTGCAGTGTGGCCTGTTACCAGGGTAACAAACAAACTCTGTCCACCTGCGGACTCAGAGAACTTTAGGGAAATAACCCTCTTGTTACTTCCTTAAGCGTCTCAGGGAAACAAAGCCTCTCTCTTCCTCGGTGTCCGCCCGTGGTGAAGGTTACCTGTGAGATAGACTTTTTTCCTTCCGAAGCGATCTGAAAGCTGGCCAAAGGAGATAACGCCGACAAACACACCACTGAAGAAAAAGGAGCTGGCCACGCTGACCTTGTAAGATCGGTTGGCAATTAAAAACCACTAGAAGGGGAAAGAAATGAAGGGACAATTTAGGCCACAGAGAACAATATATACACTGAACTAAATAAGCCTAGAGTACAACACAGACTCAGACACAGGAACTTCACTGCCTCAGCTACCGTTAGCCAGAATCTGGTAGAATATTCATCACAGACACCATCCAAGGAGACACTGGGAAGCACTGCTGCTACGGTATACTACCAGAGTATTCTTCATGTACTCCAGACAGAACTGAACCCAGCATGCAAGTGCTCATTACATGTGTGACTGCTGACTATGGCCTTATCCTGAGTCCTCCTGGGCTGTCTTTGGAGAGGAGAAACCTTGTTTTGTTTCCATTTTTCTGATGCCTACACATCACATGGCACATATGAAGTAATCAATGAATAAATCTTTAGTTTAGCAGATTAGTAAGTTTAAAATCCCTTGAACACATTCCTCAAACAATTAAAATGGGAGAGGGGCTGGAGAGATGGCTCAGAGGTTAAGAGCACTTTATTACTCTTCCAGAGGACGGGGTTTGATTCCCAGCACCCACATGGTGGCTGAAAACTGTCTCTAGCTCCAGTTCCAGGGAATCCAATGCTGTCTTCTGGCTTCTGAGGGCATTGCACAGACATGCACGCAGGCAAAACACTCAGGCACATAACATAATAAAAAATTAAAAGAGAACATCATATAATCTTGCAATTTCTCTTCTGGGTATATATCCATGAGCAGCAAATTCTAAATTCAGGTTCTCCGTCAATGCCCAGGTTAACACACCATATTCCCAATAATCAAAGTCGAAGTAACCTGTGTCAATTAACAGATCAATAGAGAAGTAGAATGCCATACTCATGTACAATGGAATATTACTCAACCTTTAAAACTAGTGCAGCCTGATTCATGCTACAGCCCATATGAACTTCTGACATTATAGAAACAAGCCAGACAAGAAGAACAGATACTGCGTGACTCACTCATGTGAGGTACCTGCAAGAGTTAGCGTCACAGAGACAGAAAGAATAGTGGTTACAGGGATTAGGAGAGGAGGGACAAAGGAGTCATTGTTTAATGAGACAGACTTTCCATGTAGAATGATGAAAACATTCTGGCTGGATGGTGGTGATGGCTGCAGAATAATGTGACTATATTAAGGCCACAGAATTAGACACTTAAACATGAAAATGGTGACCTTTGTGCCATGCATATTTGGAACAATAAAATCTTTCTAGAGTGTTATGGTCTACTTCAGGACAATTATGAACGTAAAGAGAAGGCACTCTCATTCTGCTCTGCATCAGTTTCTGGCATCCTATCCAGTGACGGTCAGCAGTGAAGAACAGTAAGCATGTCATAACCTCAGAGGACACAAAGACACACCTTTCCTCTTCCCAGCTCCCTTGCAGAGCCACCCAAGAGTCCTTCTCACTGAGAACTCTCAAGGTGGCACTTTTCTGGGTTGCCTGTCTCTGTTGTTTTGTTACCCCTTCTCCATGCTTTGACAACTCATCAGGGCCCCAGAGGCACATCTACTTTCTCTCCTTGCTCTGTGTCGCCTATAAGGGTGATGAAGGTCTTGACAAGTCAGTTCTAAGGATCATGACAGACAGGGTTATAATATGTGTTAGAATTTCATATAAGAGAGATGAAGAGAGCTCTGGCATTTGAAGAAGAATTTTGTTCTGTGAAAAGTTAATTCATTTTGGATACACTGGTAGTTCTGTAGAAGAATGTTCAACTCAGGAGGAATGACTACAGTGGCATATTCTGAAATGGAAAAATGAAACATTAGATGCCATGTTGTCCTAGGGAAGCCAGCTCAGCATCTATCACAGGGACAGCCCTGCTCCTATGATAGATGAAACAGGACCAAATGGAATTGTTCTTACGTACAATTAACCTCTTAATTCAAACACTTGTTATATTCATCATGTTCTTAATGCTCATGTTTACATGCTCTTACAAGCTGGCTTGCAACTTTAGCCTTAATTCCTCTGTGCTTTAGGAATTCCAGTCTATTTACATGGTCAAGATACTCATGTGGACAGTGAGCCGGGTCTGTTAATCAGGAGGAAATGACTAGTCCGTTGACTGTAGTCACCAAATTTCTCCTACCTACTAAAAAGACTACAGTGCCATCCCTTAACAACTGAACGGCTGTCAGCTTGGACAACGGTTTTAGGAAGAAATGGCCCAAGGGGTGGTTAACCAGCAAATTCCAAATCCTGATTCTCAGGCTGCCAGTTCCGAGTGTCAAAGTGATTTCTATTAATTTTTCTTCAAGTCAATGCTGGTTAAGCTAATGCACCCTCCCATTTCTCCTGGAATACATTCAAGAACAAACAGAACAATTGAAAAGCAGATTTTTGCAAAGCTACTTAGAGAACGGCTAGTTAGAATCCGGGCTCTCTCCCTAGCAGTGCTCCGTGAATTGAGCGTGCTGGGAGGCATGGGTGACAAGTATTTAGGGACACCAGCTGACAGAAAGCTGTCCACAACCCTATCCTGGCTCTGTTTTACATTTTCTTTATGTTTGCAACTTCTCTAAAGCATCATTTCAATTCCTATTACTTAGCTACCATGTGATTACAAGGGTTTTACTTTGTCCAGACTTGACTAAGATGCAGTAAGACATGATCCCTGTATCTTAAAGACAATGTGTGCAGTGGCTGGAAAGACTGGGTCAGTTGCTAGCTCATTTTCTTATCCTGTGGTCGTTATTTAGTGCCAAGGTAAAATCCAAACCAGAAAATCACCTGGACATAAGAAATTAAATGATAATGAACCAAATATAATGACCACGCTGACATTCTCAAGAAACGTTTTCATGAATTTTTATATTTTAAAAATCAAAATGTGTAAGTCATTCATGTCTTTATTGGCTAGAGACTACTAAACTAGTGACTCCCCTGTGGTTTTTGTTAATTGCAGGCCAAAGTCTAAAGCAGTTAAAATGAATGTTCTTCTTATACTAATTCATTTCAAACTGAAAAATTGCTTGCAAATCCAAAATGCAAAATCTCACTTTCTCCCCACATATATTAACAGGAAAGGAAGACTATAATGACAAATATTTTTAGCCTCTCATGTTGACCTGACTGAACAACCAACATTTATCTATCTATCTATCTATCTATCTATCTATCTATCTATCTATCTACCTATCTATCTACCTATCTATGTATGTTCTCTCTAATCACTAAATAGAATCTATAAGTATTTGTTATATTCTACTTCAAAATGGAATGGAAGGGCCTAGTAGTAAAAACAGATCTCATCGTTCACTCATCTACAGAAAATGGGCCTGAGAGGAAACCAGGCACAATGCAGGGCCGAACCACGAGCAGGTGCCTCTGCCATAAAAGATGAGAGGAATATAAATATGGCCAGCCCAGGTGCGAGCCCAGCACAGGTGCTCAGCGGAGCCTTCCAGCTCTTAGAAGAGGAAGAAAGGTAGGAGATGACGAGAACGGAGGCAGACTGACTCTTGGCTGGGTATCAGTGACATATGTGGGAGAGGCTTTTGTTCAGACTTCAGTATTACTTGTTTCAAGGCTGAGAATAAATGAGATGCCCAATAAGGGACTGAAGTATGGATACATGGAGGGCTAACCTGCCCTGGCTGCAATACAAAGTGTGGGATGGAGACGGCAAGCTGACTAATGAGCCAGGCTGGCCTGGGCAGAATGGGGGCTTCTAGAAGAGAACAGACTCAAGTCAGACATGGAGACCTGGTGCTCAGAGAGGCTGAGCCATCTTGGAACGGGAATTACTGATGCCTACTGGAACAGACTACACCAACCAAACATGGAGAAAAGCTTGGAGACGAGTTTTAAAGGAAGTTATAAGATGCATCTTCAACACATCTTGAACTCATCAAACCTTCAGCTTTATGGAGATGTCAAGTTGAATCAGTGATTTCTGTGACATGGCAGAAATATGATCATCTGGGAAAAGAAACGACAATGTACTTCCCTAAAACGGACTCCGTGCTGAGGCATAATTCTAAAAGCAAAGTTAGCAGCCAAGTAATGAAAATGCAAACATCAAAGAGCTGTCAAACAGGCAGGCTGCACACTTCACAGCTAGATAATTAACCAGCCGACTTCTACACTTACTCTCCTCCTTTCCCCACAGCCACCCTTCGCACAGAAATGACAATAGACTGGGGAAAGACTTTCTATTTTTAGTCCTCTGCATTTGTTCCATTAAGGAAACATGCAGGAAAAATCAGCTATCGGAAGAAAGTAGGAATAAGTAGATCTTGTAACTTAGAATAGTGCGTCTCCACCTTCCTACTGCTGCGGCCCGTTAATACAGTTCCTCATGTTGTGCTGACCCCCAACCATAAACTTATTTCTGTTGCTACTTTGTAACTGTACTTGTGTTACTGTTATGAATCATAATGTAAATATTTTTGTTTTCTGATGATCTTAGATGACCCCTGTGAAAGGATCAGTCGACCCCAAAGGGGTCGTGACCTACAGGTTGAGAACCATTGACTTGGAGGAACAGAATAAGGTATTGCTAGAAAGGAAGAGAGAGAGAAAGGAAGTAAATGCTCTGTGGCCTCTGTGCTTAGAAAACAGAAAGCTGAAGGGAGGGAAGGTGACAATGTTTTAAAGTCACCTTCCACAGCGGTTTTTATTGTAACTTTTTCATATTTGGCTAGTATTATGTCCCAGGGTATGCCTCATTCCATGGTGTGTGTGTCTTAAATACAAATGCCCAGGAAAGTTTCTGGTTTTAAAATGGGTTTGTATCACTGGCTTGCAGTCGGTGTGCCATCCTCGGGCCCTCATGTGACACCAGCCCCAGATGCCATTCTTTTTCCTTCCACACTGCATATTGCTGGGGTGTCCATCTTCCCTGACTGCCCCAGAGCATGCACCAGGTCTTGTATGATATTAGAGGGACCAGCCTTAATATTATCCATCCCAGGGGCTCAGGAGAGAACCACAAACGGCAAGGACTATTTTCAGGAACTAGAATCTCAGCACACCGAGTTCTTAGTC